GGTTTGAATGTTGAGAATTTGACACTCCCAGATTCATGGAAACATAATAATGTATTATTAAGCATATTTTAAAAACCACATCCAAGTGCTACCATAGGAAATAAATGTTTTCCAAAGGCAGATAAAACAATACAAGAATTAAGATCCGTTTATCTCCATTTCCCAAGTTGAAGCATTCACCTGTCGAGTATACTATGCTGTTCAACTCACTTCTGATGAAACAATAAAAGTAGTTTTCAGTGAGATATTGCTTCATAATTTCTGAGTCCCAGTTTGATCTGAAGAGCCACATCTAGGTGACAGATTTACTAAACTCTAATGATTGGTAATGTGAGATGGAATTTTCTAATTTATTGGAAATAAAGGATAAGAAAAAAAATCCAATCAGGATTAGGTTACAGAATCAACTGTAGCTAGTTTAAGCAGAAAGAAATTTAACGTAAGATTTTAAGTGTCTTATAGAATTCTTGGAAAGACTGAAGAACTAGACTCTAGGTTGAACTTTTAGGATGACATTCAAATGCCATATTGCAGCTGGGCTACCATGGGAATTACTACCTCTTTTAGCATCAGAAAGGCACCTGCAGAATTGGCAAGCTGTAACTTTTAGTCGCTTGTCTTAGAACCTTGTCACCTCTGTCATGATCAGGAATCTACCACTATTAGGAAACAGCCATCAGCAAGCAGCCATCTTCATCAGTAAGCTGTCGTCACTGCTGCTGGCTCTAGAGCTAAGCCACGCCTGCCACTACCTGCATAACGGAATGGATGCCTTGGGCCCTTCTTGATATCTATGAAACCTGTGACTGGATACAAGGAGTTCTGCAAATGCTGCTGTAGGAAACTTGGACATCTCCCTAACAGTATTTGCTAGTAGAAGCAGCCTAAATGCAACCTCCCTTCCCTTCTGCCCTCCGAATTTCTAGTGAGTGCATCTGATTGGCAGAATTTAAGTCACATCCACAAACCCCAACTGCAAGACAGACTAGGAAATGTAGTCTTTAGCTTTCTAGTCTCTGCAGTATAGGAAGCCATACGCTGAAGGACATTGAAATGGATGATGAAGCTGCTCCGCCATACCATATCTCCTGCAAATACAGACCTTGATTCTGCTTAAGGCTGGCAATCATCAAATAAGCAATAGATAAATTGAGAAAGATTGCAATTAACACCATCAAATAATGTTGAGAAACTTAAAAGTCTTTGTTTTTTGCTATGTTTTTATTGTTTTATAATGTCACATTTAAAAAAATATCTGAAATTAGTGCTCCACCTATATGGTGAATTTAGCAGTCTGTGGATGCCAAAAGTTTCCTCACATTTAAAGTGTGGTTAATGGATGAAAAGCCTGAAAGAGAGAGTAAAAGAAAAACTGTTGGAATGGGTTACTTAAACTAAGGAAAAGTCAGTGAAGCCTGGTTAAATAAGGTGGGAACTGAAAAGCTATCATTTGACTTGGTAACACTTAGTATTGTTAGTGTTCTTGAAGGTTCTAGTAAAGAAATAGAATCAGAAACCAAATTGTATGTTCAGACTGTGAGTAGGAGGGGAAGGATTGGAGCAGAGATTATAGAATAAGTTTTCAAGAAACTTGCCTTTTAAGAAGCAGTAGTTTTTTCTTTCTTTTTTTTTTTTTTTTGGTCCAATGGACTTGCTTATTTATATACCATAATTAACTAGAACTAGTGAGGTCCTACAGAGATATCACACACAAGACAAGTACAATCTTCCAAAGTTCCTCGCTTTTGTCTGTTTGTGTAGCTTGCTATAAAGTGTGTGTTGTTAAAATACTGTCTTTCTGTTTAGAGATATAATGGGTATAGCATTATTTTTAGTTCTCTAACCATTGGTTACTTTACTTCTGATTATTTTTTAATGAAGTAGCAGTTAATTATTTTGATTTCTGTTTTTTGTAAAGTACTAATTGATTACTACTGTAGTTGGGAGTTAGAGTTTAAAGTCTTGATAGCTGACTTAACATATTTGTATGATTGATTGGTAAACTGGGCATTGGTTAGATGAATTCACCTTCAGTGTAGTTTATTTGAGCATTAGTTAGTGACAGATAGTCAAAGTACAGATTATGATAACTACTTTTGTAGGAAGTGATGTTGAGTACATTTTATATATTACATAGAACTTGTTTTTGTTTATTCTAAGTAAATATCTGATAATGTCAAGTTTGTTGGATTCTGCAGACAAAATAATCCCCATTGTCTCCCTCTTAAAAAGGTGGGTAGTGGAACATGTCTACATTTATACAGTGTAGTTTTCTCAGACTTCACTTAAGTGAATGAAATAGGAACATGTTCAAGGGCTGTGATTTAGTGTTCCAAATTCCCTCATTAGATATGGAGCATGTTTATTATGATTTAATTTCAAATTTGTTTACATTCTAGGCCCTATATGGTGACTTAGTTGGATTTTTGGTTAAAAAAGAAAAATACCTTTGGATTATACAGAGGGGAGACATTAAAGAAGAAGGAGAGACTTAAAGGAGAAGGTTGAAAATTGAATCCTGGGCAGTGCTCTGGAGTGAGAGGGAGGGAACGGGAGAGAGAGAGCACAGGTAGATGGATGAGCTGTGGATGAGCTTTGGATAAGAGGAGAGACATCTAGTCTTTTGGGGGAGAGGAGATAGGGTGGGTACAAATTCAGATATGTATTATTTTTCCTGTTAGGAAACTAGTTTATTTGTAAAGACCAGCCCATATTAGGCAATTTTAGGGTCATTTAAAAGATCAGATTTCTTCATTCTGACTTGAGATGAACATAAGTATGTTTATTCTGTTTAAGTGGTAGCTTAGTTTTTCTCTAATCTTTTAATGACCAACTTAATACCAATGAATATCTTAGTGGTGCCTTTCCATTGACTTTCTTATTTTAATTTTTAAAAATTATTTGTTTATTGAGTTTTTCATAGTTATTTTGTAAGTTTCTGATAGACTTCTTTAAAATATATTGGTTTAAATGGCCTTTAGTTTTAAAGTTGATAAGCAGAAAGAGACTTAAGTTTATCTAGCCCAGACTTTCATCAGGAAAGCTGTGCTTCACTGATTTGTCTGGTTATTTAGCCACTTAATAGCAGAGGTAAGACAGGAACATTGGTTTCATGATTCTTAGGGCAGTACTCTTCCCTTATGCCCACTACCGTGCTTTCCTAATTTAGTACTCTGGTGTCTGACTTCAGCACCCACACTGCTGTGTTTCCTTTTGGCCCCTGAACATCTGACAAGAACTTCAAAACTAGACTTACTGGCTTCTTTAATATTCATTGAACAGATATTTCTCAAGTGTCTGCTGTATGACAGTCATGATTTTAGACCTTGAAGATCAACAAGTTCTCAGACCTCAAGAATGAGGGAACCAGAAAATAAATACTTAAGTAAAAATTAACAGAGTTTCAGATAGTTATAAATAACATCAAGAAAACAAACAGAGAAATAGAATATCATAGCAGGATTATCTACTTTAGATAGGATAGTCAGGGAAGATTTCTCTGAGGAAGTGACATTTGAGTTGAGACTTGAGTGATAAGAGCCATCTATGTGAAGATGTAGGGTTAGAGCGTTCCAGGCAGAGGCCCTAAGCTTGAACAAGCTTGGCCTGGTTTTGAATGGAAAGGAGGTGAACGCTGGGGAGTGTGGGAGGAGAAGAGGTCAGAGAGGAGAGGACAGTTCAGTAGGGCTGTGTAGACCAAAACAATGGAAATTTAGAAGTGGGGTTGTTTTCTAAGTGAAATGGAATGGTATTGGAGCAGGGGAGTGACCGACCTGAATAATATGTTTCAAAGATCACACTGCTTGATGGAGAGTGGATTGTAGAGTGATATCAGTGAAGGCGAAGAGAGGTAGCTGGATTTGGGATTTATTTTGGAGGGCTGCTAAATTTACTGATGGACTCAATCTGGAGGTGGGAGGTTTTGGAAGGATGAGGTGAGAAAAAGAGAGGAAGATGGTGGTAAACTTGGGGAAGAGCATGTTTTAGGGGAGGAAATCAGATGGTTTGTCTGGGACTTGTTAAATTTGAGATGCCTACTGGATAGGCAGGAGGCAGTTGAATATTCACATCTAGTGTTGAGTAGGAGACAGGCTTGAAAATGAACATCTGGGAGGCAACAGCATTGTCATTGTAAACTGAAGGAGTTTGCATAGAGAGAGATGAGAAGGTGGTCCAGAACTGAGCCCTGAAGCATAGCAACATGTAGAGAAGAGGAGGAGAGAAGTCAGCAGAGGGCCAGTGATGTAGGAGGAAAGCCAGAAATACTGTCTTGTGGAAGCCAAGAAAAGAGGGCATTTTAAGGAGGGATGTTAGTGTTCACTTTTATTAAATAGTGCTGCCAGGTCAGGTATCATGAGGACAAGAGAAATGACCATTGGATTTGGCAATATGGAAGGCATGAATGACCCTGGCTGGAGCCGTTTCAGTGTCATGGGGTTAGAAGCTGATTGGAGAGGGCCGAAGAATGAATGTAAGGTGAGAAATTAGAGACAGTGACTGGAGATGATTGCTTTTGAGAAGCTTTTCTGTGAAAGGGAGTCTAGAAATGGAATGATATCACGAGGGAGGAGGTGGAGTCAAGGGAGATTTTTTATTTTTGTGCTTTTTAAAAATTGGGACATAGCAAAGGTTGTTTATGTGCTGATGGGAATGATCCGCTAGAGAGGAAAATTAATGATGATACAGAAAATGGGGATTAATTGTGAAGTCAAGTCCTTGAGGTGGCACTGGAGGGATGGGATGGCAGCACAGTCGGGGGATTGCCCTTTTCTAGGAGCAGGAATTCAGTGATGTACTATGAGCTCACATGCCCCTGTGCACAGCTCCTCCCTTAGTCTCAGCAGACTGCTTTAGACCAGGTGGATCTTCTTTTTCTAATCACTAATTTTTTTTTCTGTGTTACATCTTATGTGTTCTTTTGGATTCGATTCATACTATATAAGGCTTAGCATGAACTAGCTGGTGATATTTAACACCAATTTCAATTTTTGTGCCAACAGGTGAAGCGAAAAATTTATTGCCATATCTTGGACCCAACAAAATGAGAGATTGTTTCTGCACTATAAATTTGGATCAGGAAGAAGTTTATCGTACCCAAGTTGTTGAAAAATCTTTAAGGTTTGTAAAAAAAAAAAAAAACTGGTAAATTATCATTCATATGATACATACTGATTAATAAATTTTATACATTTTCCAGACTATAATCTTCAAGAAGACTTTCTTCCTCTGAAAATTTTACTTTACTGGGCATCGGTTGAACGAATTCACCTTCAATGTAGTTTATTTGAACGTTAGGTAGTGAATTTACATTCTGAATTTTTTTTTAGGTTTACAGAATCTCAGAGTTTGAAGGAACCTTAATGTTCAGTGAGCTGGACTAACCACCTTATGCTTGGTTCCTTCTGACAATTATCTTTGACAAGTGGTCATCTGGCATTTGCTTAATAATGTTCCAGTGACCAAGGAGTTCACTGCCTCCTAAGCAGCCTATTCAGTCTTGGATCTATTCTGACTCTTATAAAGCTCTTACACTTAGTTAATTAACGTCTATCAAAACAAGGACCTACTACATGCCAAGAACTTGCTGGCTGCTATTTATTAATACATCCACAAGAGCAAGACAGACACAGTGCTTGCTTGCATATGGCTTTTCATTGCCTCAAAATATATCTTCCTCTTAATTCTTCCTAATTCTGTCCCTTGGATTTCTGGAGAACAAATTTAATCCATCTTTCACATGACACTCTTTCAACAGTTATCCCTCAATTTGTTTTCTAGGCTAAGTTTTGCCTGTTCGTTTGTACTTTTCTCAAAGTACATCATTATTTATCTTGAGGATAAATTACTTCTTAAAGCTTATACAAGTCAGCTAAGTAGGGCATTGTAAGGGAGTGATCTCAGGTAGATTTCTTGTCTTTTGAAAGTGTAATAGCACTTTGAGAGTTTCATAGTAAATTCTAATTCATAGAACTGGAATGTGCCACCTCTGCCCTATAATAGTGTTTGTGGACATAATTCTAGTGCAGAGTTGTGCTGAAAGGATGCAGTTGTGTTCAGGCACAAGGAATTGTTGGAATGCACATGTGGTGGATGAAATATTGAGTGTCATGACTTACATAAATTGTATTTCAGGTGTCTGTTTTTTATCCTCTTTTTCATATCTTTTTTCTTTATACTTGCCCTTTTTTTTGTCCTCTGAAGTTTTTCCCTTTATGTCTTTATTGTCAGTATTTATAATTTTGAATGTCTATTGAGTTCTTCATAGGAAGGGGATTGTATAAAGCTGAAAATAGTTTAGTAACCCAAAAAGATTTGAAATAATATGCTTCCCATCTTTAGTCATAAATCACCTGTCCCTGTTGTATTAGAATTCTGGTGTTATTTGTATGTTAGAAATGATGAAACTGAGTCACCAAGAGGCCAAATAATTTGTCCATATAATAAAGGAAGTTAGAAGCAAAACTGAGATTGAGGACCTGCAACTATTTAAATCTCAATTTGTTGCTTAATGTATGCTCATTCCATATCACACAATAATCAGTGATATGCAAAAGTAGTAATTGTCCATAAATTGGATACTTTTGATAGTTTCTAATATGTAGCCTTGTAAATGAGCACCTAAAACTAGCCTACTTTTTTTATTTTTTAACTCTTGCCTTTCCAGATACTTGTGTTGAGGAAAACAGTGAAACCAATTTTCTTTATCCATCTTAAATTATTTTTCTAGATGCATGGGAACTTGGGAGATATTTTAAGGCTAGCAGTGGTTACCTTAGGTCATTTCAATATAGTTAGACAAGGTGCTGCTTGGATTCTGAGTGCCCACTAGCATTTTTCCTTGTGGAGTAGGGCAAAAGAATCTGCTGTATAAACTCTTGCTCACTTTGCTTTCATTTCAGTGTTTTCTACCCTTGTGGATATTGTGATACACTGTTAAGTCAAAAGTCAGTAGATACCATTTAGATCGTTTATGGATTCTAGATATTATAGTTTTTATAGGTATCGGGGTATAGAGTTTTTATAACGGGTAAAGTAGGAGTCACATATGGAATCTGTAGCTTCTAAATCTTTGCCTGAAATCCTTTTAGGGAGTAGGTATATAAACAAAGTATCAGCAATACCACTTGTTGATGGTGCTTCTCTTCGCCACACCAGGAATTTCCTCAGGAGCCATTGGCACGATCGCAGATCAGTGATAACAATAGAGTGCTGTTTTTAAAACTATGTGAATCTGGTCACTGCTTCTTACCAACGTTATTGAAAAGTTTTCAGGTGGATTTATTTATTTATGAAATAAAGAGGTGGGCACCCAGATGTGGGGATTGGTTTGTGAGATCGTTATGGGACAGTGATACGGGTCACTTAATAATTCTCATGTTGTTCTTATTTGACTTCAGAATGTGTTTTAAAAATCATATTTGAATATGGATGTGTGATATATAAAGGAATTTCTCTCTTTTCTAGTTGTTTATAAAATGATGCAAATGAGAAAAATACCAAAACATGTCATGTCTTTGCCTAATAGTTGTTTTTGTATTGATTTCTATTTTGAGACTAATTAGAAGACACTAGCTATTTTGACAGACCAACTTTTGAAAGTTCATTTTGGCTACATTTGAAGTGAAAAATATATTGACAGAAGTTGACCAGGCATTATAACAACTAAAAAGCTGAGTTAACTGTTTTCTGGACAAGATCAGAAATGACTTCTGTAAGAGTATTTTACTTTGTGTTTCAGCTTCTCTTTAAGTTGTGACATCTTGAAGAGCTTGCATTTTATGGTGCTTTTTTTTTTTTTGAGGAAGATTAGCCCTGAGGTAACATCTGCTGCCAATCCTCCTCTTTTTGCTGAGGAAGACTGGCTCTGAGCTAACATTCGTGCCTGTCTTCCTGTACTTTATATGTGGGATGCCTACCACAGCATGGCTTGCCAAGCAGTGCCATGTCTGCACCCAGGATCCAAACTGGCGAACCCCAGGCCACCGAAGTGGAACGTGCAAACTTAACTGCTGCGCCACTGGGCCACCCCCTATGGTGCCATTTTTAAAGTATCTTTTTGTTCTTTAAAATAAATATTCTCAGGAAAGAGGTACTCCTGACAAAAAATATTCACTAGCACTTCTGAGATGTATGTCTTAAAGGAATTTAATATCAAAATAGCTTTCTTAAAATGAACTTATGAAAATAAACTGTTTCATAGGAGGAAATCTTAGCAATGTGGGAGTAGGCAAAGATTTCTTACTATGGATGCAAAAAGCACTAATTATAAAAGAGGAAAATAGATAAGCTGGATGTCATCAAAATCAGAGCCTTCAGTTCTTCAAGAGACACTGTCAAGAAAATGAAATGGCAAGCCACAGGTAGAAGAAAATATTCTGACAAAGCGCTTATATCCAGGATTTATTCATTTCTATTTATTTATTTATTTATTTTGTGAGGAAGATTGGTCCTGAGCTAATATCTTGTTGCCAATCTTCCTTGTTTTGCTTGGGGAAGATTGTCACTGAGCCAATCTTCCTCTTTTTGATGTGGGATGCTGCCACAGTGTGACTTGACAAGTGATACTGGGTCTGTGCCTGGGATCTGAACCTGTGAACCCCAGGCCGCCGAGGTGGAGTACCCAAACTTAACCACTACGCCACTGGGCTGGCCCCTAGGATTTATTTAGGAGAAAAAAAGGCAATAAGAAGACAGACAACCCAGTTAAACTATGTGGAGAAAACCTTAAGAGATATTTTACAAAAGAAGATATACAAATGGCTGACAAGTACATGAGAAGATAGTCAGCATCATTAGTCTTCAGGGAAAAGCAGTTTAAAACCATTTCTGTCACTCTAGATTCTTGAACATAATGTGTCATGATAGAAATCAGATCACTGGTTCCTGTGACAGTATGGAGGGAGTGATTGCACAGGGGAACTTTCTGGGGAAAGAGAAATGTTCTGTATCTTGACTGGGGTAGAGATTACACAGGTGTGTAAATTTATCACATCATATTCACTATAATAGCTAATTTTAAAAGATCTTCATTAGCACGAGTTGGCAATGATGTGGAGTAGCTGGAGCTCTCATACGTTGCTGGTAGGAGTGTTAAGTGGTACAGTTAGGTTGGAAACAGTTTGAGTTTCTTATAAATTAAAAATTGAACCACCCCTTAACTCAGCAATTCCACTCTTCCACCTACTCAAGAGAGTTGAAAGTATATCTATTAAAAACCTTGTATAAAAATGTTCACAGCAGATTTATTTTTAATAGCTCAACTGGAAACAACTCAAATGACATCAGAGGAGAATGGATTTTGGAATATTTGTACAATGGAATATTATGCAGCAATTAAAACAAATGAACTACTGATATACACAGCAAAATGGAAAAATCTCATAGATGTTAAGCTGAGTGAAAGAAGCTGTACATGAGTACATAGTATTTAATTCCATTTATATGAAATTCTACAACAGATTTATAGTGATAGAAATCAGATCACTGGTTGCCTGTGGCAGGTATGGGGGGGCAACTGCAGAGGAGCATAAGGAAACTTTATGGGGCAATAGAAAGTTAATGTATCTTGATTTGGGTGAAGGCTACACAGGTTTATAAATTTATCAAAAGTCATTAACTACTATACTCTAAATTGGATTTTATTATATGTAATTTATATCTCAATAAAATTGATTTAAAAAAACCTGGTTTTATTTTTTAAATATATTTTTACAGTAATTTTTTACATAACATTACCCATTTTAGATGTTATGTATTATTGTGACTAATAGAGATTTACATATTCCTGAGACAATGATAGTGTGAATGATACTGTCCTCAGTGCTCATTTGTGTTCACTTTAGCTGACATGGCCCCAGGCAATTACTGGGTCTTCTGTCCACAGGCTTCCTGAAAAGCTGTTTGTTCACCAACCTGGCAATTGAGGTCCTTTTAGAGTTCAGCTTGGTTTGTATAAAGTTTAGTTGAAACTTAGCATAGAGAATTTTGGGGGTTTGGAGCTTTTCTCTGATGTTTTAGTCTGTAAATTTTTTTAATTGAAAATAATATTATTTGAGGACACTGTTGAATATAAATTTAATGAGCTTTCCCCCTTTTCTCTCTAGCCCATTTTTCAGTGAAGAATTTTACTTTGAGATTCCAAGAACTTTCCAGTATTTGTCTTTCTATGTTTATGATAAGAATGTTTTACAAAGAGACCTTCGTATAGGTATGTACTCTTCATTATTATCTTTATTCACAACATTGATGTCTATATTCATTCTTTCTCTAAGTATAAAGTGTTGAAAACAATGGAATGATATATGCTCAACATCTCTAATCCTTTTCTCTAGACTTCATATTCATTTGTGAATCTGATTTTTAATTATTTGCTCAGCTTAGGTGATGCTTCCTCAGGGAAGTGTCATAACTGATCCCCTGGTCATGGTGTCATATGTTTCCATTGTAACTGACAGGTCCCTTTCCATAGTACTCATTATGTGTATTCATCATTGTTTAATATCCAGGTGGGTATGATATTTATGAAGGCAGAGACTATCAGTCACAGAGTGCCTTACATTTAGTAAATGTTCCATGAGTATTTGTTGAATGGTTCAAAGAGTGTTTTTATACAAAGATCACAGTATTTGATCCCCCCAAAGAACATCTGTTTTTGAAGTTTTTCTAATAGAAGTAATAATTTGCTTTAATCTGGGCATAAGTTTTCTCTCTGTCTCCATTGGTGACCAATAACTCTATTTCTTAAATGCTTGTCTGAGGCTGGGGTGTAATCTGTGGGCTTGCACTAGAACAAAGCTAACTGGCCACGTATGTGTCACATTCATGATCTTTGCACCATCTTTGTATTTTAATAACAGGTAGAGGTCTATAATTTACCTGTATTATCCTCTCCCTTTTTAGTATCCTGAATTTCATCATCTTCTCTCCTTTTGAACTTGAAATATGCTGGTCTCCTACAGTTTAAATGATTAAGCTATATATATTTGACTTTGTCCTCTTAACTACCGTCTAATTTGTTTCTGCTTTTGCTGTTGAACTCCTTAACAAGTGGTGTGTATCCTTCTGCTTACTACTTCTTTCTTTTTTAACTTTTTTTTTTTTCTGAGACAGATTCGCCCTGAGCCAACGTCTTTGCCAGTTTTCCTCTATTTTGTATGTGGGTCACTGCCACAGTATGGCTAACAAGTGGTGTAGGTGCATGCCTGGGACCTGAACCCATGAACCCGGGCCACCAAAGCAGATTGCGCTAAACTTAACCACTATGCCATGGACCAGCCCACTTATTTCTTTTTAAATCTCTATAATCTGGCCTCTATGTTTTTCTGAAAAACCTTTTTTGAAGTTTCCCTGTCATTTTAGAGCAAATCAAATAAACTTTTAAAAGCAATATATTTTTTCTTAATTATAAAACTATTACATAGTCTTAGTGACTAGTAACTGCACAGGAATAACTACAGTTAATAATTTGTATTTTCTTCCTATTCTTTATTCCAGGCATTTATATAATATTATGTTGTACCATTTATTCCGTTTTTTTCCTTTTTCACTTAATATCATCTAATTATCCTTTCCCGTGTCATTAAATATTTTTCAAAAATATTTATTATATAATGTCCTTTGTGTAAAATGTATTATTTTAACCACTGTTTTGTTGGTAACCGTTTGTGTTTCCAGATTCTTGGTACTTTAGATGGTGTGCTATGAACATCCTTCCACATAAATTTTTGCAAGTCTCTTTTTCTTAGGATAAATTGCTAAAAGTGAAAATACTGAGTCAAAGGGTATGAATATTTTTAAGGTTTCTTCTGTATATATTTTTATGTTGGCTCCCAGAAATATTGTACTAATTTACATTCCCAGAAACATAGCATGAGCATAACTGTTTCACCATACTCTGGTCATTCTTGGATATTATCATTGGAAGAAAAATTTTTTCCAATTTGATAGGTGAAAAATAATATTTTTTTAACTTCTATTTTTCTGATTATCCGTGAATTTGAGGAATTTTTTCATATATTTATTGGTCTCTTACATTTTTCTTCTTTGAATTAATTGTTCATTCTTTTGCCCATTTTTCTTTTGGGTTGAGTTCTTTTATTTATTTGTTCTGAATCCTTATTTGTGAAATATGTTCATTTTTGTCATCTAGATACATGACATATACTTTGTCACAAAAGGCATTTTTGTAGTTTTCAATCCTCATCTCCCTCTGTGTCACCTTTGACTCTTTTGATTGACTCTTGTTGAAAGCCAAGGAAAAGGCAGTTTTTAGCATTGTATTTTCCAAGTTGTATTTCTTCTATACTTACATGCAGATTCTTCTCTTTCTAGCAAACCCTTAATAGTGGATCACCCCTGAGGCTCAATCCTCAGTTTAGTTAAAGAAACATTTACAAATACTTGTGGGTGGTGTACAAAGGTTGGGAGTATTAGGATGAATAAGACTCAAGTTGCTCCCAGGCTATCAGAGAGACAGACTCTAATACTAATATATATAGTAGAGTCTGTGCTGGAGATATGAACAGAGTACTTGGGGGCATAGAAGGGAGAGCAGTTAATTTTGTTTGATGGAGGATCAACAGAGACTACCTGCATAGGAAAAGGAGGAAGTTTCAAGGTAATAGGGATTAGCAGAAGCAGAGGAGAAAAAATGAATCATGTTTGTGGTGTAGCTGCTGGATATAAATTACCTAGGAGGAGGGTAGTAGAAAGTGAAGCTGGGATTATAAATTGGAGCCAAGTTGTGATGGATTCTAAAAGCCATGAAGAGGAATTTGGACTTTATCTTATAGACAGTAGTGTTGAGCTTTTTTAAGAATGAAGAACCTTTAAAAGATTATATGTAACTGTATATGCATATATACTTAGCTTATATACTATATATACTTAATTGTAGTTTAACAACTTCCTGTGGTCTACAACAGGAAATTCCAAACTATAAACTCAGTATCTATAGATTACATATTTAAAGTGTATATATGTATATATACACGCACATACATAATTATGTGTAACTATACACATTTTTAAAAAGTATATGTATACTTTAAGTATGTAATCTATAGTTTATAGTTTACAATAGAGAGAAATTAGGGGCAGGGAGACCAACAAGGAGGCTATTAGCAAATGAGATGAATAGGGCAATGGCGGTGGAAGCACAAATGAGGGAATGTACTTCACAGAAGTAGCTTCAAATAGGACTTCAGGACTAAGGGGATGTGAGAAGGGAAAGAGTTAAAATGGTCTTGTTTCTATGGCTGTCATTAATTGAGATAAAGAATAGCAGGAGCTTTCATTTTTGAATGGGAGATGGGAAGGGAAGAGAATGACTGATTTCAAACTAGTTAAACTTGTATTACCTGGGAACATTTAGGTGAACACAGTGATTGACTTGGAAATATAGTCATGTGCCACATAATGACATTTCAGTCAACAATGGACCATGTATACCATGGTGGTCCCATGAGATTAGTACCATCTAGCATAGGTGTATAGTAGGCTGTACCATCTAGGTTTGTGTAAGTACTGTAGGGGAGAAAGAAATTTTCCTCTACCCTTCTATGTTTCCTGGCTGGTCTAAGAATTACATTAACAGGAGGAAAACAAACAAAAGTTGAATAACATGTGTACATGGGAGAAACCCAGGAAAATGGAGTAACGCACCAAAATGGCGAAGCATTCGCCTTAAATACCATCCTTGGCTAAAGACAGAAGATGTTGGGGGTGGGGAGAGTCAGAGACTTCAAAGGGAAGGAAGGCAGTTCACAGATAGGTGAAAAGGAACAAACATTTGGAAGATGAGTGTTTGGCCGCTCAGAAATAGAACAACACAGTGGGGAGCCCAACAAATGGGCTTTTCTAGGTTTCTTCTTGTCTGCCACCTAGTTTGTGTTATGCTAAGGTGATAGCTCGCTTCCTGAGACAGGTTTATTTAATTTGAATTCTTTTAGGCAGTTAAGGGGGAGGTAACAAGAAAAACTTTCAATCTTTTCTTTCTTAAAAATAACCTAAAATAATCCTTATATTAAAGAGACACATTTTGGGATGGCAAATTTTGTTCCCCTTCAGTACACTCTATCATGTTTGCATAGTGACAGGGTCACCTAATGGTGCGTTTCTCAGAATGTATCCGTTTGTTAAGCAACATGTGACTGTGCAGCTCTGAAGTTTTGAGAAAAGAGGAGCTGGAGATGTGGATCTGAGAGTCATTAGCATTAAGTGATTCTTGAAGCCTCTGTGGGAATGATTGAAATTGCCCTGGGAGCAGATAAGGAAGATGAGGCTTCATCTGAAACAGGGAAAATGAGTCTTCAGTGAAGATTGGTAAGGTGTATCAGGAAGGTAGGAAGAGAGAGATTAATAATATCATAGAAGGTAAGGAGATCTTTTAATATCAACAACTAGAGAGAGGTAGAGTGAGGTAAGGATTGGATAGAGGCTGTTGGTGATTATTAGTGACCTTTGAGAGAATATCTTTGATTGGCTACCATGTCTTTTTAAGAAAATATTTTGTAATTTTCATTGTTTACAAATAATATTATAGTTATCATATAGTATTTCTTGAAAAGGCCTTTAGTTGAGGTTTATAATTATGATTTCTAAAAGTTGCTTTTGTTTTTAAGTAAAAATCAGTTTTAAGTAAAATAATTTTAAGTAAAAGTTCTTTGTGGAGTCGTATCAGAAAGCTATAACTTAGAGTGGGAACTTTTTTTTCAGATAAGTTTCTTCTTATTAAGAGGTAAAATTTCTGCATTGATTGGGAATTTTTTTTCCTTTTACACGTAGGAATTATTATTAAAGTAGACACAATATGTTCATACCCTTTAATTTGAAGTTGGAAAATGGTCAGTGTTTTCACTTACATGTTTTTACATTTTTATAGTTTAACGTATTTTCTATTGTCATTAACTCATAAACTTGAGTTTTTTTAAAATTTTGAGCTACTAGAAATTGATTTCCCTCAATTATTTTATAACTCTGAGTTGCCCACTTGTACCTTAAACAGTGCCATAGAGTTTTCTGGAAATGAAATTTGAGCTGGAGTTGAGAGAACCATCTTTCAGTCTTAAGAAGATCTGAAAATGTGTAGAAGTTGAATATAGCTTTAAGAGCTTGTTTGTTTCTTATTTTTAATTGTATGAGTAATATGTGGATATTTTTCTTTTTGTAAAAAAAATTATGATATTGTAGATAATCCTAAGTAAATTT